TAGCACTTTTAGCTGTAGCTTAGCATAGATCATTGAATCTGATTAGACCGTTAGCATCTCGCTCAAAAATGACCAAAGAGTTTCTATATTTTTCCTATTTAAAACTTGACTCTTCTGTAGTTACATTGTGTACCATGAGTGCAGCAGGCGCAATGATATTACGCAGCGCCTGAAAATAGGCTAATTGGAAGTTACCTAGCTGGGGACTATTTGAGAGTATAGTTCCTAGCCATATCGGCCTAGAAAATCGCAACTTTTCATTTTCCGTCGGTCTTAGTACACGATGTAACTACATAAGAGTCAAGTTTTAAATACGAAAAATATCTAAACTCTTTGGTCATTTTTGAGCGAGATGCTAATGGTCTAATCAGATTCAATGATCTATGCTAAGCTAAGCTAAAAGTGCTACCGCCAGACCCGGAGATCGGCTAAATAAATGGATTAACGGTAAAACTCAACTGTTTAACTCCAGGGGAGTTGGAAAATTAGCCTATTTTCAAAAATAGTGGAGTGTTCCTTTAAGGTTTGGGGTTGCATCAAAAGATTTTAGATCTTGAGACTCTGCAGGGTGCCTGGCATCTGATAGATCTCCAGAACCATACATTAAAATATGAATATGTACAGCAATTGCAATAATGGTTCCCTCAACTCTTTACACAACCATATGCGTTCTTCGAGCAGATACGATGGGGACGACACAATGCCAGGACAAACTGAGGTGTCTCAAACAAACACTAATCTTAGACCAGTGAAGAGAGTGAACAAACCCAGAGTTATTTCATTTTCAATAAGCCTTTACCGTTTGACCAATTAATTATGGCTTTTTGAGTTGTCCATTACGTTTTATACATATTTTGTTCAAGTTGGACTCTACTTGTTTGTAATGTTTGCTTGTCACACCTTAAATAGGGCCGGTGCCTCATTCAAACAAACCACTGATAAAGCAGCAAAATAACCAGAAAAGCAGGAAATTCATTTTAATTTTCGCCACTTTCTAAGAAACAGAATCAACTGATCCCATCATGCAACACAGTGATCAGTGGAAGAAATGTGGCTCCTTAACGTAAATGAAAGCCAGTTGTACTTGTCAGTAAAATTATACCAATTACACAATCAGTAAAATTTAATCTGCTATGCTGGTTATTGCTAAAATACTTGGCCATAACTCTGGGGAATGATGGTAAACTCAGAATGAGGATATTATATGGATATAAAATAAAACAAGTGCAATGGTTTGAAGCTAAGGTTAAGATAACGAAGTACACAAAGTCTAAGCAGATGAGAGCAAAAACAATACTTAATTCAGAAAATAATGCCAGCGCAGACTGTGAGATCTGTCAGAGCCATTTCATTTTGTTGATGCCAAACAACCAGCAACATTTAAGACTTAATGCCAACTGAACATTCAAAATAAACTAGTTAAAAGTGCCAGTTCATTTTCACCAAATAACTGCTTTATAAACTAAAATGTTCTTGTTTCATAGCCCAATTTGATATAATCTTAAAACTACAATCCTCAGTTTAAATACAAAGCGTAAATAAAACTAATTTAAATTTAAACTAATTTAATTCGATTTGTTGCTCAAACACATCCCAAACTCGCCAAGCACCACTGGTTGAGTCAAAGGTGTGGTGTTGGGCTGGTCAAAAAAATGGCTCAGCACATTAATTCAGGGTTTAAATTTCAAAACAATCACAAACTTCATCTTAAAATTTTCCTGATTTGAATATGGTCTAACAAAATTTTCTGTCTATGTTTTAAGACACATAAAGCACAAGAACGATGTTCATAGTCTGCGCTGCCTTATATTCGCTCATGTTTTCTGACAGAAACGCTACAGATGCAAGCTTGCAACGTCTCTCTCACGTCCAAACACAATGCACACAACAGCAGGCAGAAGACAGAAAGAGAGGGGGTAAAGGTAAAAACAAAAAAGTAATGAGACTAGAACTGAAAAGTGCTAGGTTGTTTGTAGCATAATGCGTGCCAGCGCAGGCCCTTACCAGGTTAGTTTTGTTACTAGTTCGAATACGTACGGGTATTCCCAGTAACTGGGGGTCCACCGGCTGCCGGAAGGGCAGCGACTCTGGGTCCTGTCTGTACAGAGCTTCCAGAGTGGGCATTAAAGCCTGGCGGAGCTCGTCGGGTTTAAAGACTGATGGAGAGGAAGGAAATAAAGGTAGCAGCGGAGTCAAGAATCAGGCACATATTCATATGAAAATCATGAGCACTGATTTCAAAGCAGTGTTTGTCCTTCATATTAAACTGAGGAAAGGAACAAGCACCTGCCGATTCTAGATCAGAATTAGTAGATTTCATGCAACGAGAACTGATGATTTTCCCTACTTTTAGCACCATATAAATTTAAATCACAAAATAAAATAACAGTAAATCCATTGCATGTGGTAAGATGCTTTGGTTAATGTCTGTATGCAAATTATATAAGAACATCTGCAGGGTCATTAAAGGTGAAACATATGATTTCTGTGCCAAACACAATCAGAAAATTAATTTTTTTTTTTTTGCTGAAAAAACATCTTTAACAGTTATAAGCCACAGTTAAATCTATCAAATTGATCACATTACACATTTTGATTATTTGAAAATCAGACAAAACTGTGTACTTAGAACTACAATCACATGAAGCATGACAATCAATTATAAAACGGAGACATATAAAACAAAAAGCTTCAGGTTTAACTTCTCTGGGATGGTCTACCAATGTTTTTTTTTTTTCCCCCAGCACATTATATCTTCATAGAAAAGGGTATTTTTACATTGAAAAAAAAAACAACAACACCAAAAAGGACAAAATATTCACCAAACATTTTTCATGTAAAATGTCTCCATGAATGTGTGCGTTAGTTTGTTTTACCTTTCTTCTTGCTTTGTGTGTTTGCGGGAGTGCTGTTCGTTCCCGCAGCCTCTTCCTCTTTGGGTTCGGTTTTGACCTCCGGCTTCTTGTCCTCGGCTGTCGACCCAGTTGATGTTTCCATTGGCTCTGTCTTACATTCATCGCCTGCAGGCTCCTCCTTCTTTATGTGGCCGACCAATCAAAATAAGGTTAGAGACGGAATTGAAATACAGACTGAAAAGAAAGGATCAATTTCATGTTTAACAGATGTAAAGTTTCCCGACTCACCTCTGGTTTCTCTTCAGTCTTAATCTCAGTCTGCATGGCAGCCATTTTCCCTGAGGCCTTATCCTCCATCTCATTCTCATCCTCTTCTTCCTGCTGTTCGACCTCTGTTTTGGGGTCAAGTGGGGCGGTGGACTCGGATGATGTCAGCTGCGAGCTTGGGTCAGCACTGCTGTCCGAGGCAGGAGTTGAGGCCTGACCGTCCGCTGTAAGAGATGACTTCTGGGATAGCTGAGGGGTGGGACAGAAGAGCAGATTAGGAGAACGACCAATGGCGAACAAAAACAAGGAACAGCCAAAAGAAACAGCTGATTAAGAGAGAAGAGTAAACAACAAACAAAATGAGGGAGGAACAGCCAACAAGGCACAGCAGATAGAGAGAACAGCCAATGAGAAATTAAAGAAACAAAACAAAACAGAGCAAATGGCTAAATAAGAAACAAGTCAGGAGGAAGGCCAATGGCAAACAAAAACCAGTAGGAACAGCTACAAAAATAAACAACAATTAAAAAACAAATAAAAAACAATAGCTTAGGATCAAATAGAGATAAAATAAGACAAAACAGCCAATGGAAACCAAAAATCTGAAGGAACAGTCTATAAAAAAAAGAGCAGCCAATGGCAAACAAAAGGAACAGCAAATAAAAAATGTAACAGAAACTGGAGAAACGCGTGTCTGAATGAGAGAGCAACCAATGAGAAATAACAGTCAGCAGGAAATGCCTAATACAAAACAGCAGTGTATGAAAAGCCAAAAAACAAATGTCAGAAGGAATAGCCAATGCGAAAGAGTACAGTACGAGAACAGCCAACAAAAAAAGAAAAGAAAAGAAAGAAAAAAAAACAGCAATACAAATAAAGAATATGAAGGAAATACTAAAACAAACCGCAGATTAAGAGAGCTTTCATGCTGGGCATGTTTGTTCTTCTATCAACCCTGTGCATTTTTGTTTATTTTTTTTGTTTATTTTTGTTTATTTGTTTATTCAGCACAAACAAGCGAATTGTGACAGAGTTCCATAGCAGACAAACAAAACAGAGAAATTCATCAGACCCTATGAAATTAGTTTTATCTTTTCCCAAATTCTGAATTTTTTCCCCCAATTCTGTCTTTTCCACTTCATTTTTCTGGATTCAGTTTAATGGTTTAATTAAATATATTTTGTAATAATCAAAAACAATGACTAATCATTTGAATTCATAAAAACTTAATTTAATAATTTTTACTTTAATTTTATAAATAGTGCATTTTAAAATAGTTTTATTCTTTCAGAAAATCTTTAATAGTTATTTTTTGGAAGAAGTGCACAACAAAGGTTTAAATTAAAATAAAATTTTAATTAAGTTTAGTAAGTTCAATTCAGACAAAAAATGTGATACTCTAAATGTATTAAATTTATTATTACAGTTATTACTTTGAGAAATATATTTTCATTCACACAGACATGCAGAACATGTAGACTACACATTTAAATGGCAGTCTTTTTGTGCTTTAATATTCAAAGACATTCTTTTTTTTTTTTACAGATTTGATTAAATATACAGCCATGCTTTTAATTTATTCATCTAAATTTTGCCAAATTTCATGACATTTCGCATTATACTGTAAACTCCATTTTTATGATTCCGTATGCGTTTCATCATAGGGCCTAGGGGTGGGAATCTCAGGGTACCTCGCGATACGATACGAATCTCGATACATGGCTCACAATACGATAATATCACGAATACAGCGATTCTGTGATAATCGATATATTGCTAGACAATACGATAACGATACATCACGATATCCGTCTAACTATGAAAACAAAATGCCTGTGAAAAGGTTAAGTGCATGTTTTCTCTCTTTATTCAAGTCCAAACTGATAGAAAACAGCACAAAAAGTTCTGTAAATCAAATTTAACATGTTAAGTAAATTAATCATTTTATTCTTGGACTTATTAAAAGCTTACACATTTCTTTGTGTATAAACCAACACATTTAACTGCTTATCAACTTCATATATAGCCTATATATAAACCTGGTACATTTCAAAATTTACCTGGAGTGCTTTCTTAACCTTTCCTTTCCTCTCATTATAAAAACGGAGCCCCGCACACATGACATGCAGGGGGAAAAAAGCCATTCACATCGTGTCTTTTGTGTACTCAGGTTCGTTATTTCAAATATACGCGCGGCAAGCAACCACACTGCAGCATCCAGTTTTATTGACATAAAACTGGACGCGCCGGCACCGCTCTCTCTCACTCATACAGTGAGGGAAATCCACCTGCGATCCGAGTGGAGAGGTTAGGCTACTCAATAAACCAACACATTTAACTGCTTATCAACTTCATATAGGCTATATATATAGGCTCTGACAAGGTTTTGTTTCGTAGTCCATGACATAGGTGCAGATTAATGTTTCTGCCGGTCGGTGCCCACTGCCCACACTGAATAACGCGCACTTGTAATATCTAAAGAGAGAGAGAGCATCCAGTTTTATTGACATAAAACTGGACGCGCCGGCGCCGCTCTCTCTCACTCATACAGTGAGGGAAATCCACCTGCGATCCGAGTGGAGAGGTTAGGCTACTCACGGACTCAATATGTGCTCTGCAATAATAACGTGATCGATGCCTACAGTCCACGCTGATAGCTGTTCCGGGGCAGTTTTTTGATTCTCATCTCCATAAACATAAGACGCCGGCCGGTGCATCTCTGATTTGTTGTTGGTCTACCATTACGCTCGTATTTCTTCTTCGCTGTGAATTACAATTTCCATTCATCTGACCATCCACAATCTGGGAAGCGCCACCACAAGAAGTCTGGAGGTACTGCCACTCCGGTAAGCCAAAGTGGTAAACAGCCACAGTGTAGGTATGAGTTTAGATCTTTGTATGTTTAAAAAAATATCGATACTTGCCAGAGTATCGATAACGTCTCGTGGCCGGAAATATTGCGATAAATCGGCACATCGATTTATTGTCCCACCCCTAATAGGGCCCCATATTCACAGAAGACCCAAACAAAAACGATAAATGGAGGCTCTTCAGTGTCGATGTGAAGGTATAAGCAAAAACACCCCAAACAAACACATTCTCGATTGTGATACTCACAGGAGTGTGTGGGTGTGCACAAAGCCCGTGTGCATTCTGGGAAGGCACAGATGACGCTAGCCCTGTTTGGGGACCTCCAGCGGCTCCGCCCCCGTGCGACTGCTGCTGTAGCGGACTGGCTTTTTCTGAGCCCACCCCCTGTGCCATCGGGGGCAGCTGTGTTGCGGGTTGGGCCATAGTGGTCGAAGAAGTGGGGGTGTGGGGCTGGGGGGTCTGGTTACCAGGCAACTGCGGGGGCGTTTGGTGTGGGGCAGGGGTAGGGGTGAGGCTGCGTGCAGGAGAAGGGGAGTTTTGGCGTAAGGGAGGACAGGGCGCGTGCAGTCCGGGCTGTGGGGCAGGTGGGGGCTGGTTGGACGGAGGCCCCTGAGGGCCAGCAGCGGCTGTGGAGCCTGAGACTGCTGCCTGGGTTTGAGCTACTGGACTACGGACTGCCAGCGATGGTGGAGTGGGCATCTGATTCTGAGAGAGAAAAAGAGAAAAAAAAAAAAAAAAAAATTTGACTGGGGGGTATTACTTTACATCGAGGGCTGGGCATTGTATTAAATATTTACAACATATTCCTGGTAGTTTTATTGGTGATATAACACTACGTATTGTGAATACTGCAGTGATCTTAAGTTTGTTCTGTTTCCTGAAGACTCTTTCATGGCTGCTTCTTGTTTCACTAATAATTTCTGTCCATTTCAAAGAATCTGTTCAACTGATTCAGCAATTAATGTGGCTTATATGTTTTAGAATGTTTCTTGGTTTTACAATTTTAAATTGTTTTATGTATTTCTATATATTTCTTCAGTGAAGAACCATCAGTGAAAAAAATGTGCCATTATTTATTACTAGATTTCTTTTTACTGTACTGTTATTTGGTCCAAATGTTTTTGTTGAATATATTACATAGATAGTTTGAAGTTACTAATAGAGGTCTGCACGGGACTATTTTTTTATATATTCCGCACCCACCCGCTCCCGCTATATATTCACCCGCTGTCCGCTTAGAATAATTTTCTTACCAACCCGACTGTCCCCGTCATTCATATTGTCTTTCACAATAGAAAATCTCTTTCACTCTTTTAGCCACCAAAAGACAAATCATATTAGATGCATTAGAGACAACAAGCTGTGCTGCGTAATATGGTATGAATGTGGTTTAATAGCTGACCTGTGACATGGCTCCATGCCCTGCAGGTTGGTTCAGGCCAACTGCACCCTGGCCCAGTCCGGCACCCTTGCCTGGAAACTGGTTCTGCATGTACTGGTTTTGTAACTGGGGTACGTTGGGTTGAGTCATTCGAGGTGTCCCCTGCATACCCATCTAAAAATACACAATAAAGGCTTAAATAAACACTTAAATCAGTTAAATTAGTTGTCCCTCTTCAGGTCACAAGTGATGTTACCTGATTGAGGTTTGCTCCCATTGGCAGGGGCGGCGTTGCCCTTTGTCCCATTGGCTGTTGCATCCCCACCTGGGCAAACTGATTCATACCTGCACAAGAGTCGCAAAAATGTTACAAAAAAGGCAAACGACAAAAATAGACATTTAAAAAAAAAAATCAACTACAGACCATTTAGTGAGTGTGCCATACCAGCAGGATTCTGCATACGGTTGACCATCTGATTGGGTCCAGTGGCTTGAACTAGGGACGGATCTGAATGGGGACCATCTAGGAAAGACCAGAACAACCATCACAAACAGCATAATTTGATTTAACTGTGTGTGTTTGTACTTGAAGACGTTTGGTTTAAATTTTAGGGTATAGTTCGCCCAAAAATGAAAATGTGCTGAAAATGTACAAATCCTCAGGCCATTCAAGATGTAGACAAAAATGTGAACAGATTTGGAGAAATGTATCATTACATCACTTGCTCACCAATGGATCCTCTGCAGTGAATGGGTGCCGTCAGAATGAGAGTTCAAACAGCTGATAAATGCAACACAATAATCCACAAGTAACCCACTTGACTGAAAAGATGTGTGTTTATGATAAACAAATCGATCAAGACTTTTCTAACTTCAAACCATTACTTCCAGCTAAAATACAAGTCATCTATCCATAATATTGCTTACTCCAGTGAAAAAGTAATCTCGTCTGAATCAGGAGAAAAATATGCGCAGATGTGCGCATATTAAATATGAGCACTGTTTACAAGTGAAAACAGTTCAAAACAGTTGATATTGGTGACATGTCAGTGCATTTTAATGTAAGGACAACAGAGGATGGACTGTTTCACTGGAGGAAGTGCTATTATGGTCTTGAATTTTGGCTAGAAGGGACATTTTAAATTTAAAACGCATTAATGATGGATTTGGTTCTTACAAACACACAGCTTTTCACCTCTAAAGGCATTAACTGATGGACTGGAGTCATGTGGATTACTTGTGAATTATTGTGATGTTTTTATCAGCAGTTTGGACTAATTTTGACGGCACCCATTCACTACAGAGGATCCATTGGTGAGCAAGTGATGAAATGCTAAATTTCAACAAATCTGTTCCAATGAAGAAACTCATCTACAACTTGGTTAGCCTATGGATCAGTACATTTTCAGTAAATTTTCATTTCTGGGTGAACAATTCCTTTAAGGCCAGTTTATGCAGGTGTGTATGTGTACGTACTAGGCGGCTGTGCCTGATTCATGCCAGCTGGTGCTTTAGGTAGAGCACTGTTGGGCATGCCAGGCTGAGCTGGCATCATACCCTGCTTCTGCAGTCTGGTTCTCCTCTTCTCCTCCAGCTCTTTCTGAATCTTATAAATCTTCTCCGCCAACAAGTGGTAATACTCCGCCTGGAAAAGTTAAACATTCACGAGGACTATCATTCTTACAATTCGTTTTAAACATGGTTCAAAGTGTTTTTCATGCAGCTTTTAGTGGAGACAGAAAAATTAATGGACGTATCACGCCTGGTTAGGAAGTTTTCCAGCGCTCTGTCCAACGCTAGACTGTGAGCGTCATGGGTAAAATGTGAGGAGTCAGGTGATTCTGTGGATTCACTTAGATATTTACCAAGTATAATCCACAGACATGATACTGTGCAAGCGTTTTCTTACCCTGCTGTTGGCAGATTCATACATGTCGCCCTCCACTTTGCGAGCATAAGCTACAAGGTTTTCCATCCGCCGATCCTTCAGTGCTGCAGGGTCTGGAGTGGGGAAGATAGCTTGCACACTACTCTCACACACACACACAGAAAAAGATCCAAGTAACAGAGTGAATTCATGAAGTTAGACAGTACCATGTGTGATCCAATTTTGTGTAATTACTAGATAAGGATTTTAAATAATTTTATGGAGAGCGAGTTCACAAGGAGCAATTTCAAATAAATCAGTGCTTTTTCAGTATCACTGACACCGTGTCTATACCAGACACGAGCAGCACGACAAAATACAACAGAACCCATTATAATCAGTGATGCGTCTACACTGGATGTGGTGCAGCGCGACACGACAAATCCCAGACAGCAAACTGATGCCTCGTTCCATTTATGACGTCCTAACACAAAGTTAAGTTGCTTTGTCGCGTCCAGTGTAGACAGACATTAGCTGTTGCGGCACGACTCGACAACTGTTGCGTCTGGTTAGACACGGAGTGAGACCCTATTATAGATTTTCTTAACATTTTGAATTAACTTTTATTTTCGTATTTTCCATTTTCATTTTTGTTAAAGTTTCAGTAATTTTGTAGAGTTTTTAGTTTTTGTTGTCTATACAGTTTTTCTGAATTTTTATTTCAGTTTAGTTTAGTTATTTTAGTACATCAACTTGAAATTGAGAAATGTGGCCTTGATAAGCTAGCTGAAATAAAATGTTTCATTTTGAATACTTTATTTCAGTTAACGTTTCTTTTATTTCATGTATAATTCATGACAGCAATGTAACTGACATGTTTAAGGCACATAAACGTAGTAAGGACTAGTGCTGTGTTCGATACATCGATACGACGAAGTATCGTCACAGAGATTTGACGATACGAGTATCGATACAGCTGGCCCTGTATCGATATTGTGGCACGTGTGCAGCAGTGGACCGTGCTTAATTTGAATACAAGAACAACGTTTAAAATTGAGCAGAAAAGAGCGAGGTTTCTAAAAAATGATCCTAGTAAGGAAATCATTAAAATTGTCCATGTGACATCAGTGGCTCAACAGTAATTTTATGAAAGCTACAAGAATACGTTTTGTGCAAAAACAAAACAAACAAAAAAAAAATTTACAGTTGAACCACTGATGTCACATTGACTATTTTAACAATGTCTTTACTACCTTTCTTGGTCTTGAATGTGTCAATTGCCTTGCGGTCTATGGAGGCTCAGAGAGCTCTCAGATTTCATCAAAAATACCTTAATTTGTGTTCCGAAGATGAATAAAGGTCGTACAGGTTTGGAACGACATGAGGGTGAGTAATTAATGACAGAATTTTCATTGTTGGGTGAACTATCCCTTTAAGTATAGATGCATTTGTAAAAATGTACACTATCATTCAAAAATGTAGTTTAAAAAATTTATATTTTTATTCAGCAAGGATGCATTAAACTGATCAAATATAACAGTAAAGACATTTATCATGTTACAGAAGAAATCTATTTCAAATAAATGCTGTGTTTTGGACTTTCTATTCACTGAATAGTAATGTGTATAAGTGATGTGTCAATATCGACAGTGATTTGCAGCAGAGACGTAACCTAAAGTTATTAATTTTCAATGAGAGTTGGTGCTTTCTGATGACGTGAGCAACAGTGACAGTTTTATCGGTCTTTATGCGAATGAGCAGCGATGTGATTCGTCCAACAGCCAATGAGAGTGCATACTGTAATCCACCACCTATTTCAGCCATCAAGCAGGAACGTCTGCTACTGACTAGTAATCATTCAGTGTTGAAGCCACCTTCATTTTTATTAATTTATCATAAATGTAAAATTCCAATTTTTTTTTACAATTTCTTATAATAGATGTATAAAATGACAGGCTGTGTGTTAGCATATCACTCACAGTTTGTGTACGAGGTGATTGCGGAGGTCCTGTGTGATGTCTTCATGCCAGTTCTTCCTCATTCCTGCAGAGGGAGGTGTGGCTGTTGCTGCAGAACCCATGTTACCAACACCAGAGCCATCATTCATCAGACTGCAAGAGAGAGACAAATCATCAAACATAAACATAAAGCTTTCACTGACCAATCCATTTAAACCAGGTCTGGTGCACTGAGCCGCAGTGATGTTTGGTACCTCTGAGGCGTCATGTTCCTGTGCAGCATGCCGTCAGGCAGCATTCCTGGATGCTGGTTCGTCATCGGAGTGCCAACTCCACCGTTCACTCCCATTGAATTCCCACCTGCTGGTGCACACAGTTTAAGATATTGTAGGCAAGACATGTTAAGGATGTACACAAGCGGACTAGTTTTTGCACTAACTGAAAAAACACTACATGTATGATTAATAACAAAAAAATCATAAAATTAAAGGGGTCATATGATGCTGCTAAAAAGAACAGTATTTTGTGTATTTGGTGTAATGAAATGTGTTTATGCGGTTTAAAGTTAAAAAAACACATTATTTTCCACATACTGTACATTATTGTTTCTCCTCTATGCCCCGCCTTTTTGAAACGCGTCGATTTTTACAAAGCTCATCGGTCTGAAAAAGCGAGGTGTGCTCTGATTGGCCAGCTATCTAATGCGTTGTGATTGGCCGAATACCTCAAGCGTGAGACGGAAATGTTACGCCCCTCACATACTGTTGATGCCGTGTCCCGGCCGGAGCTACGAGACATAAACATTAAAACCCATTACAAACGAGGCATTTGTTGCATCCAGTGGGGACATAATTACTGATTATAATGACTTATACTGTCTTTTTATGCGTTGTATTGCATCGCGCCGCGTAAACATAAAACTCTGTCTGCGTTTGTGATCAGAGAAATGACAAATAACAAGTGGTACTCTACTGCCCAAAACTCACGTTTGAATCATCAGTGGCAAATCCTTTAAATGAAAACGTACTTACAGACTGAGAGTCAGAAATGCCGGCATTGTAGTCTACTCTTCCAGGAAACAGTCCTCCATAAAATGTATTGCACACATCCGAATATTTGGGTTGAAGTGTTCTGGAACAGTGTTGTAAATACAACTTAACCACTGATTTGTAGTCGTGTCCTCTTTTGGAAGACCAAACAAAGTAGTTTCGCTTTCACAACGAAAAACACAGCGGCCTACCGTGTGCGAAAGCCCCGGCTTAGCCTGAGCTGAAGCCAGGCAAGAGTGAGCTGAGGCGGCGGGGTCGAGAACGGCGCGCCCGGCGGATGCGACGAATGAGCGGCAACCACATGTGACGACCCCAGGCTGGACTCCGCTTCGTCCACGGTGAAAGTTGATGTATTCCCTCAGCGACCAGCACAGATCAGCTCTAGGCATGACGAAGCGGATATCGTCCTCTTTTGGAAGACCAAACAAAGTAGTTTCGCTTTCACAACGAAGCACACAGCGTCTTCACGACATGGCTGCAGCGAGAATAAAAGTTACGCCTTCTTTCTTTGCGTGAACATTTGGGCGGCGTTATGCAAATCTTCCCACATAGTGAGGTAGATATGTGGGGGCGTGTTCGAACGAGCCGTTTTAGGGGGGTGTGGCTGACTCTTAACTTTTATAAAGAATATCTCTTTGGATTTGAGACTTTAGTCTTTGCAACTTTACAGATCTTCTTTATGCACCAAGAGCTTGTAACACTCCAAAGAGAAAGGAAAAATTGAAATCGCATCATATGACCCCTTTAAGGTTGAACCACTGCTGTCACATGGACTATTTTAATGATGTTCTTACTGCCTTTCTGGGTCTTGAACATGGTAGTACCATTGCTGTCTATGGGAGGGTCAGAGAGCTCTCGGATTTAATCAAAAGTACCTTAATTTTTGTTCAGAAGATGAACGAATGGGTTTGGAACGACATGAGGGTGAGTAATTAATGACAATTTTCATTTTTGTGTGAACTAACCCTTTAAATAACATTAGCGGACATACATGTAATTAGAGGCTACAACTTATGGAAACTCTCACCTATATTGTTGAGCGTCCTCATGCCGGGTTGAGCTGGTACAGAGGTCTGCTGATTCTGATTGGATGCCTGGTTGCCCTGGTAGGTGAGTCCAAGGGCAGCGTACGCCCTTTCAATGGAGCTTGGGTCAATCTGACTGGGTGAGTTTAAGTTTGGGGCTGAAGGCTGACCACCGGGTAATGACCCACCTAACGGACCACCCATGCCCATCCCAGCACCTCCCAGCAGAGCTAGAGAGAAGAATGGATGAAAGGATGAGAGATCGAACAACCCTTTAAATACTAGAATATGTTGATATAATAGTATTTTAGTATAAAAGATGATAATGTCTTAAAGGGATAGTTCACCCAAAAATGAAAATTCTGTCATTAATTACTCACCCTCATGTCGTTCCAAACCTGTAAGACCTTCGTTCATCTTCGGAACACAAATTAAGATATTTTTTATGAATCCCGAGAGCTCTCTGACCCTCCTACAGCAAGGATCCTTAAACGATCAAGGCTCAGAAACATAGCAAGGACATCTTTAAAATAATCCATGTGACATCAGTAGTTCATCCGTAAACAACATATGCAACATATGTACGCAGATACGTTGTTTTCATTCAGATCAAAGTGTAAACAACGTAAACAGCGTATCTGCGTACGATGCTGCTGACACAGGACAGCATACGCTGTTTACGTATGTGATACTCTCCAAAATGGTGCTAAAGTGTGACACGGAGGAGACGAATTGTTGAATAAAGTCGTTATTTTTGTTTTCTTTGCGCACAAAAAGTATTCTTGTAGCTTTGTAAAATTACGGTTGAACCACTGATGTCACATGGATTATGTCCTTGCTACGTTTCTGGACCTTGATCGTGGTAGGACCCTTGCTGTCTATGGGAGGGTCAGAAAGCTCTCGGATTTCATCAAAAAAGTCTTAATTTGTGTTCCAAAAATGAACGAAGGTCTTGCATGTTTTGAGGGTGAGTAATTAATGACAGAATTTTCATTTTTGGGTGAACTATCCCTTTAAGGAAAGTCAACGGAATCCAATTTAATTTTATGGGCGAAAACAGATGAAACATTCTTCTAAATACCTTCTTTTGTGTTGGACAGAAGAAAGGAAGTCACACAGATTTTAAACGACATCAGGATGAGTAGCATTTGTGCATATTAAAACTCACACTGCTGGTTTCTTTTGTCTCCAGCGCTTTTAAGCGGCAGACAGACGGGACAGTCATGCCGTGTGCAGTTCTTCCAGTGAGAGATGATCTGCCTGGAGGACGCGCAGTGAGCCACTGCAGAGGAACACAAGCATTGCTTATTTGTGGGAAAATAAAATACGATTGAAAGAATATGAACTGGTGGCAAGGCAACGCTCACCCTGGCAGGATTTTCCGGCCTGACAGTGCGTCATGTGATTAAGGACGTTCTTCATGGTTCTGCAGTGGGGCAGGCTGCACTGGCGGACCTCTCCGTTGGCCTGCTCTCTGCGATGGCACTTGTGAGCATGCAGTAACAGCACCAGCTGCTGCTGAATGAGTTTACGCTTCTCCAGGTCCGCTGCAGGGGGCGCCGCCGCCCCGCCTGGGCCCGATACGCCACCCACCACACCTGAGCTCTGCTAGACACAGACAGAAAGAGGGTTTTCATGGGACAGGATTGAATCTTCCTGCTGCTGCAGAGTGTTAAGAAACACAGAATTAGCTCAAAAAAATGGGATCGGTACGTTTTTTTATTTTTTTTTATATTAGAAAGACGTCTCTTATGTTGACTAAGGCTGCATTTGTTTGATCAAAAATAAAGTAGAAACAATAATATTGTGAAATGTAATTACAATTTAAACTGTTTTCTATTTTAAAATGTAATTTATTCCTGTCATAAAAAGCTGAATTTTCAGAATCATTACTCCAGTCTTCAGTGTCACATGATCCTTCAGAAATCATTCAAATATGATTATCAATGTTGAAAACTGTTGTGTTGATTAATATTTTTGTGAAAACTATGATCTAAATGCAAAACCTGCAGACCTTTTTCCATATTTTAAGATTCTGAATGTTTAGATTCTGCAGAATAGTTTTAATATGGTAAAATGTTACTGAGAATACTGCAATTGTACTTGTAACAAGAAAAACAAATCAAACAAATTAGCCAGAAATTATTTATATACATTTTATTTAAATAACATTTATTCAAAACTAGGGATGTACCAAAATTGTGGCTGTCAAAAATGGTCGGAAGTATCTGCAACTGAAAAGATCTTTAACTGTAACTTTGATATGGATTAATTTAAGCATGACATTATGAATAATTATTTTACTAAGAAGACTAAGAAGATTACACACTAGTCTATGACGTTCTGTAGTATAAATAGTGCGAGTAGTGCGTTCACACTAAAAATTCCAAAAAGAAAAAGTGCACTTTAAATACCCGGATGATGCACTTAAATAACCGAAAAAACGAAGTGTGGAATGATGGACACTTCATGCATTCAACTTCCGCAGCTTTAATTACGTAGCGAAGGGGGAGGGGCTATCAGACTCCGATTATGAATGACAAAAATAACCTTATATAATTCATACACTACATGGTTGAGTAAATAGTGCATAAGTACATAGTGTATAAGTGCATAGTGTATCATTTGGGACGCAGCTCTTGTCCATGCAAATACAACTTTTATTGCATAAAAATCAACTTGAGAGTGTTAAGTATGTGTAAGTATGTCAGTAAAGCAAGAGCGGTGTCTTAAAGTTTATTCTAAAAATATGTAATTTTTCAATTAAATGTGGGACTATTTTAGATAAAAGGTCACACTAACCTATGTAAGTTGGCGTAATTGCTTATATACACATTAACTGTGAAGAGAAAAAAAAAAGCACTTTGATTTTGTCTTTTAGTTTAGTGAGTCAAATTTCCATTGCAGTGCATCACTGTTCAAAGCATTTTCAAGATTAAAACTAACTGAAAATGGGGGTAGTGATGTGTGGAATTTCACAAATAATGGCCTCTCAAATTGTGCACAAATCTGGGGAAACAAATTTTGTGACTACCTAGAAATACAGGTGCATCTCAATAAATTAGAATGTCGTTCATAGAAAAGTTTATTTATTTCAGTAATTCAACTCAAATTGTGAAACTTGTGTATAAAATAAATTCAATGCACACAGACTGAAGTAGTTTAAGTCTTTGGTTCTTTTAATTGTGATGATTTTGGCTCACATTTAACAAAAACCCACCAATTCACTATCTCAACAAATTACTTCAGTCTGTGTGCACTGAATTTATTTAATACACGAGTTTCACAATTTGAGTTGAATTACTGAAATAAATGAACTTTTCCACGACATTCTAATTTATTGAGATGCACCTGTAATCAATCAACAAGTTCAGTGTCTGTGGGATGAACCACTGGCTGAGGTCTGAGGCGAAATGATAACTGAAGGCTCTTGGTGATAAGAGAGTAAGAGTAAGAGATGGAATTAAATCTCCTCAGTCAGAGAGGGTCAGGGAATGTGTGTGGATGTGGTTTGCTGTGACAATTTCTGTACAGTTCTCTCACCATGCCACCCATGTTCTGCCCATGCTGAGGTTTCTTGTCCATGTTGAACTGGTTAATGCTGTTGGGTTGTCCCGCTTTGTTTTGGAGCTGAGGCCCAAGGGACTGTCCTCCGCACTGACCATATGAACTACTGTAGGGGCCTGGAGCACCCATCATTCCCATCTGAGGGGAAAAAAAGAAGAAAAAAAACTATCAAGAATGAAAATGAGCTAGTATATCAGTCTCAAAGGTTTCAGTTATGACAGAATCTGATCCATCATCCTGGGCAGAATCATAAACCATCAAAGATGAGCTGACAAAACTGAGAATGCTAACAGCAAAACATCAATAGATGAGAAACAATCATTCAGCCTGTTTGACACTCACGTTCTCATTGTTTACTCATCGCATACGCATAATGTTAGTGACAATTCGGTATCAATTCTGCAAAATAACCCTCAAAACAGCAGCTTGAAATCTAGAAGAACCCAGCAAAACAAACAAAAAAGAAAATGTCATTCCCTCTTTTTTTCTGCCCATTTCCTGCAGTCCAGGTTGTGCAATCGCCTGTGAATCAACAAAATGGTGCGCACAGTTCCTCGTATGAGGGAGTAGAGAAGGTTGTTCAAACTGAGCTGTTTCAGTGTGAAGGATCACATTCACATCACATCGCATTCAAACCAAAGAAACACCACAAGAGATTTCTTTCACTTGAATAGTCTATTTCACTACCTGATTTCTAACAACAGTCTTACAAGACCAAAAAATTAACAAAGGGTCATGTTTTTAAAGGAGGGGAATACAGTGCTGTCACAAGAACATAAGTAATCAGGTTTGTCTATTCGGACGATGAAAACCAGAATTTTTCAAATTTAGATTTTAAATCAAGCAAACAACGATAAACACAACATGAGTCACTACTTCTTTTTTTTTTCAGGTTATAACTTTTGAAAATTAGACAACTTGGCCTTTAAAAGTCATAAATCCTGAGAACTATTTGTTTGACCTTTAAAATTTAGGTTCTCTCTAAAGCAACTTAACCATAAAGTTTGGGTCTGGGACTGATAGGTGTGTGACAGCAACAGAACATGGCGCTTTTTGTTGTTATTGTACTTTTTGCTCCATAAAATAGTTCGACAACTGTTGAAACAGGAAGTTGGGACAGAAAGGCTTAAAAGGGCTTGCACTTTTTGTATTAAAAATAATAATATTAATAATAATTAATTAAGCCAATGGTCTTTATTTATTGATTTCATTGGGTTTTTGTCAATTTTTCAATTTGTCTAATGAAAAGCAACACTTATGTTTGTTAAAAAAAAAATTATATTAAACTTTATATATTATATAATTTTTATATAATAATAAAAATTAAATATTTATTGTAATTAATAATTAGATCAAAATTGAATATCTATAATAAATATATAGCATCTATAATAAATCAAATATATATAAATATTACATAAAATTGTATACGTTTGAGTAGGGCTGGACAATAATTCAATATCAATATGTATCGCGATATAATTTTTTTCAATAACGGTGATATGATTTTTAAACACATTTCCGATATTTCGATATACATTACCAGTGTTTCCCATACATTGATTTATTTGTGCCGTTTGCTGCATTTATTTGATCATACATACAGTGAAAACAATAACATTGTGAAATATTAAAATTTTAAATGTAAATTAAATAGCTCTTTCACTCAAAGACACACCAGTTCATAGATGTATAATGAGATATAAAACAGATTGAAGTCAACATTAAAGCTTGAAGCAAAACCATTTTGCATGCAGTTTATTGGTTGCACACAGAATTATTATATTGATTTGTTCACGTTACCTTGTTCACTGCTCCTGGTTGCTGCGGTCTCATTGCTGCCTGTGCCATCTGCTGCCCTGCGTTCTGCTGCTGCAGAGCATCGGGCAGCATGTTCCCATTACCAACCATGCCCGCATTCATGTTCACATTGGCGTAGCCCATTCTAGGCGCACCATTCATCATCTGCCCTCCCATCATGCCCTGCGGCTGTCCGTTCCCTTTCTGGGCGCCCATCATGCCCCGGTTCAGTCCCGCCACCATGCCAGGCTGCGGCATCATGCCAGGCTGCTGCTGTTGAGGGCCACCCAGTCCCTGAGTAACCGGGTTGCCACTCAGACCTCCCATCATCCCCAAGGAGGGCGCGTTACCGGGGTTGCTGGTGGCCGTGGAGGTGGATGGAGGGGCACCAGGGCGGAGGAGCTCAGACAGGTGCTTGTGTTTGGCCGCTGTGTCCTGGCCCGAGCCGCCCAGAGGGCCCAACATCCCTCCTCCACCCAGAGTGTTGTGCAACTGGCCGGGGTCCATCCCGTTAGGAAAGCCCAGGTCGGAGGAGTTAATGAGCTCGTCCGGGAGGTCATGCTCCAGGTCAAACAGGGAGCCAAAATCTGAAAGAAAGGGGGAAGAGACTTTAATAAGGTTGTTGCTCACAGAAGAATCACTCATAATGAGATACATCAGAGAATAATTACAGTATATGCCCAAAAAATGAGACGGGTTCAGCAAAGCCACAGCAAAATAAACCATATTTGCTCTTAGACAGAATTTAATCTGATGAGATAAAGTAATAAGTGGACAACACATCTGTAATTTCAATTACAGGTTAGTTGGCCTGGACAATACATGGGTTGATCCATCAATCTACAGCAAGAAATCTAGACAAATTGACCAAAGAGCGACTGAACGAATCTCATGCAACAGTTTATTGCAGCTCCCGGGAGAGAGCGACTGAGATTATCGGCTCACAGGAGAACAGTATGCAGTAGAGCCGGTGTGCATGTCCTAATGGTTCATACTAATAAAAAACACATGGCATGGCATAACAATGGACAAGTGGTGGGACAAAATGGGGGCCTTTTCCTACATAATGGCAGATCCTGATAGCAGCAACGCACCAACGACTGATAAATGCAACATACTCTAAATATGAAGCAAGAGAATTTTTAAATGCAGTCTTCACATTAGTGATTAGATCGATATATATCAGCAAAGCAATTAATCAGACAATTTTGGATTTGAATTTGAGATTATGGCCATAGACCAACAACCAAAACATGCTTGGCTGATTTACACAAGTGTTTTTCACACTTTTATCCGTTTTAAAGTCTACATACAACCTTTTTTTGTGGATACCCGAGAGTTTTTATTTAATTTTATATTTAAAAGGACAGTTTTTGAATGCATGTACATTTTCAAGAGACGCAAATTAGAAAAGTGACAGCATTTAGCCAATTTTATGATACATTTTTGGCATGTTTTTCCCCCCCATCTATAGAATATTTCTTAAAAAAAAAAAAAAAAACATTTTTACTTTGACGTCAATATTCTAAATATTAAAATAACCATCTTATGCCCAGTTCATGGGTTTATCTTTAGGTAATTGCAGATAGTGTGCAGTAAAAATAAAAACGGGATTTAGTTTAAAGTATTAGTTGTACAAACAAATTAATTTCTTATTGCCTAGATGACAACACAAACAGTGGCACAACTTACCCCAGTTTCCCCAAACTTGTTTTTAGTTATCAAAAGCTTTTTTTTATGAAATAACTATTGTATGAAATACAATGCTGATTCAAATTCATCTTATTTGCTATTATGAAATTATACATACATATAAATAGATTATACATAAGCATAACAGTCACGATCTGCTCTGTTGATATATCAGCCATTTAAAAACCTGCACTGGTGAACCACTAGAGTTCAGGCAATATGACCTGACTTCCACTTCTACACATGCTGTAAAAAGCTGTATAAACCAGCCTAGAATCGTTTGCAGGATTTAGGCTGGATTTAGAAGGGTCTTGGACACTTTTCATCTGGTCTAACAGGAAGACCAGCAAACCACCTTAAGCTAGTTAAAATACAGAGTAACCACACAGATGAAGTAGTGTTGATCAGAAACTTACAGACACTGGTTTGTCAACTATTTAGTACGCACTACATGTAAACCAACTTGAAAAGAAAGACCTCTGGCGTCTCAAAGTGCTCTACACTTCACTCCCAACCGACGTGATTTATAACATGTTCCTGTCGAGTATTCCTTTTCCTGACAAGCTCAAAATGCATCACCTCATAAACCTTTGACACCAACCCCTGCTCTCGACATCTCATAACGACGAACAAAGCGAAAAGTTTGTGTAACGCACACCCGGAAAAACAATGCATACTATTTTGCACACTCAGATGACCACGCACAAACAGTATCGTAAAACACCTCATCAACTTCAAATGAAAACACGGAGCAAATTAGCCTGCTAGCTATCCCTGCTAAGTTATTTAAATACCAGGGGACGATGCAAACCAACAGATACAACAAAAGAAAGCTCTTGGGAACACACGTCGAGCGTCTTTTTTTCATACATGCAGGCGAACAGCGGCAGACTCGCCGCCGCACACCGCAGCGCGTGAAACATTATTATTTACCGTTTCCATCGCTCGCGGAGACCGACAGAGCCGGAGAAGACAATTTAGGCCTCTTAGCTGAAGGCGGGCCGGATTCCAGCACATTATCGGCCATAGTTTTCCTCCGGTTTAGTGTTAAAGCATATATCCCGCGTAGGATAGCCCTTCCTGTGCAGTCGCTAGCCGATGTGCAAATGAAATCTCTCCTCGTTCACGAGCACCGGACGGATTCCCGTTTCCCTTTCATGGGACGAAACATGCATGCAATGCAATGCAAAGCTTCAATGTTCAGTCCACCTTTAAAGCTCCCTTTTAAGATTTTCTAGTCTTTAGTTCCTCAAAGTATATTTCCGAATGGAGGAGGTGAAGGGAGGGACAGACGGTCATGCAAGCTCGCCGCAAACTCACGTAGCCTCCTCGGCGACTGAGCAATTTTCCCGAGATTTATCCTCGCTGCTTGCATCCGTCTTTTCCGCCATTGTCGGCGGCGAGCTGAAGTGTTAGGTTTTTTTTTTAAGGCGTTGTGTACGAGAAACCGAACTCGCTCCGGTGCGGCTTCATGCAATGCTTATGAGCGAACGCTATGATTCAGAATAGTGTCTGTCTTTGCATTGTAGCATGTGCAATTCTCAGCCTGCATCACTTTATTTAGAAGACTGAAAGTCCATCGTGCTCCTTAAAATTGACAGATGTTTGAATCTCCTTCATCGATGTCTTTATTTCCTTCCAAGTAATTAAGATGAATGGAGAGAACAAATAAATACTGGAAATATCATTAAACAGTCATATGCATGTAAAAGTTTCCTTTCATCCTTAATAAGACAGTACTCTTTGCAGAATAAATAACGCGATGAATGTGCATCCAACTTCAGTTTGCATGCACGAGCTACCACTTTAGATGATTCCAAACAACTTGCATATTTCAGTGTCCATGTCTTAGCATTTTGCAACAACACTTCAAAGTGACAAGTCAAATGGTTTATTGTGCATTCGCATCTGAATATGGCTCGTGCGCCCTCTGTGTGAACGTGTCCACTGCACGAGTTAAAAGTGTTTGCAGAAAACCTCTGACCATCGCTTCACGAGACCACCCTGCACTGCGCACAGCTCGTGCATGCAAAGAAATGATTTCAAAAGTGTCCGTCTAATGGACAGAACATGCATGCAATCGGTCTGAAGTGCAAGATATTGTCTCGCAATCCGCTGTGCTCGAGCTAAAGAATGGGAATCAAGTGAAGTTGGTCAATGCATATGCGTGTATTTCAATGCACTGACACATCAAGCAAATAAGAATAATTTGTCACTGCACGAAGAGCCTTGCGGAGCATTAAGAAAGAGCGAGAGTAACAGCCAGTAATGGGTCGAAAACAGAACCGAGCTGGGCTTCAATAATATTTCGGGTCTGAAGCATCTGCCGATCCGGGTGATATTGCCAGCTGCACCCCCCAAAATCTGGGGGTCCTCAAACCCCTTTCATAGGCTTTGTGATGCCGTGAACCCCCCTGCGCGTTCATCCCTTTTAAATTTCTCCCTTCTCTTGCACAGTTCCTGCAAATTTCCCCACTTTCGCCGTCGTCCGCCAGCAACCGGCGATGTAATTTCACAGATATTCCCACTTCGTGACGCTGTTATTTTCCTTTTCCCCTGACGAGCTTCCCTTCGTTTAAATGTATTGCCCTCTTCCGCCTCTCTGCTTCGTTTAAAAAAAGAACAGCAAAAGAAAGGAAAACCCAGTCTGCTCTTTGATTTGCACACGGGAGAATCTATAATCTCCCTCCGTCGCCTCCGCTAATCGCCGGGCTTGTGTTTTATCCGGTCTGGATCCGCGAACCGGAGCCGGCGGCGCTCAGAGTCGCAGTGGTCGGCGCTCGAGTGGCTTTTTTTCGGTCGCTCCTGCCTCCTTCACTCTCTCCGCACAAACAAAATGGCGGCTTGTTGTTTCTACTCCTCTGGCTGGGGGAGGGAAGGTTGGAGGTGCGGTAACATTAGTAAAGGGGGGTGGAGGGGTAGATGGCGATCGGGATTTCCCGGACAGCGCTGTTTCCGTACTGTTTCGGAGTTGCGACTGGGGTCCAGCATCATCAGATGATGGAGTCACTAGTAGTGAGATGATGCCCACCTTGTGACTTATTGGTTTGCAAAATATTGCCTCGCTTGGCTTCGCTATAGCTGGAGGGACAGTCAGCCTCCTCGGAGAAACCCAGGGGTCAAGTGCCCTATTGAAGTGCAATGGTGATAGAGGCCAGAACAAACGGTGATGTTTTTTCAGACCTCGTACTCAAAGAGTCGTCTCAGTTCCTCAAAGCCTAGTGAGCTGCCAAACTACAGAGTATTTTTGGACATTATAGGCATGTCATTCAGCTCAGCTTAACGTTGCTTAACTAGGCATTTTTTGGCATAACAGCATTGGGAATCAACTCTTTTGAGAGATTGGGTCTCAAAAGCCTGTTGAGAAAAAACACCAGCCTAAAATGTTTGTCTAGTTTTAGCTGGTCTTCCAGCCTGGTCATATCTAGTTTGCAGGCTTTGACCACTTCTTTAGCTAGTCAGGCTGGAAGACCTGCTATGCGCAGTTTAAACCAGCTAAGACCAGCTAACCAGCATAGGCTGGATTTAGCAGTTTTTTCCAGCAGGGAACCTAGAAAACTGACTATGTAGGCAGCATTTTTTGGGCATCATAAATATGTTCAGAGTGAATTCAGCTATAGAAGCTCCAAAACCTAGTGCATCCAGTATTTCTGGATATGCACATTAAGAGTCTGCTCAGATCAAAAACGTAGCTAGACAGCAACTGGCAACAACGTAACTAAGCATAACCATAGTGCAAGTTATCTCAGCTAAGAGATTGTTTCTCAAAACGTAGGGAACTGAATATGTGGCTAGCACTTTGGACATCATAAACGTCTTCAGAGTGAATTCAGCTAAAAAAAACTCCAAAACCTATGAGCTGCCTTCTTAGACAGCATTTCTGGATGTCATATGAGCTTTAAGAGTCAATTCTGCTCAAAAACCTCAAGTTGCTTTCCGAGACAGGATTTTTGGGCAGCAAGTGATCTCAGCTGAGAGATGGCATCTCAAAACCCAGTCAGCTGCTTACCTAGGCCTACCATTTGGGTGTCTTCAGTGTATTCTGAATGAGCTCATGTCAAAAAACTCCAAACAGGGACTTGTCAACTTGGGACTTGATTTTTTGGCATCATAAGCATATTCAGCTCAAAAACTACAAAACCTAGTGAGCTGCCTATCTAGAAATCATTTTTGGATATCATGGACACCTTCATAGTCAGCTAAGAAACTTTGCTCAACTAGACAACACTTCTGCTCAAAACATAGGGAGCTGACCATGTAGCTAGCAAGCATCATTGGGAATCATTAGCATGTTCAGTGGCCTAGCTAGACAGCATTTCTGGGCCTCACTGGCATGTTCAAAGTCAGCTCACATAAAAAAGGGCATAAATGCATTGCAAGTCATCTTAGCTGAGAAATTGTCGCAAAATCTAGAGAGTTGCCAACCTACTAGACTTACTCTGGTAGTCATTTGCATGTTCTGAGTGAGCTCTGCTTTACAAAAACTCAGAATATCCCAAGTTTAGCCACATGTTGCATCATAACATTTTCAAAAACCAGTGAGATGCCTACCTAGATGGCATTTCGAGCCTCGTAAATGCATTCAAAACCACTTCTGTTCAAAAACCTATCCAGCATTGAGCTGCTTCAGAGCATCATCAAGCTCACCTAGACAGTACTTTTGGACATTAAACAAGCTCAGCTGACTCAGAACATGCTTATACATAATTTCAAATATATTGTGTAGTTTTCTTTAGTTTTTGGTGATGTTGGTACCATCTCCAGTTTCGGACTCACATCTGCTTGGGATTGAACCTGCAACATATGAGTTATCAGATTCACACAAATACAGCAGCCCAACACACAAAACAAATTCTGATGTTCTTAAAGGAGTCATATGATGCGATTTAAATTTTTCCTTTCTCTTTGGAGTGTTACAAGCTCTTGGTGCATAAGGGCATCCTGTGACCCCTTTAAAAGTTTTCAAGTGTACTTAGAATATGTACTGAATAAAAAAAAAAAAGCTTCTCATTTTTGCAAAAAATCTGTTCATTGACTAATTACGGGGCTTAGAAATGCATTGCGCTTACAAACTGCAGCAACAAAATTAGACGATTATTTTGACAACAGTAAAAAAAACAAAACATGTATGACAGTAAAAGCCTCAGCAGACAAACATACTCAAACACAAATCGAACCTCTCACAGTACAACACATAAATTGTCTCACAAACAGCCTGTTCACCATGCTAAATCATAACAACCGGTTTGTTTCTCCATCTGAACTCATTTAAAGTCTCCCATAAGCCCTCGGACGAAAAGCTGTCACTGGGGTGGTACCTTTTCAAAACATACAAATATTTATGCTTTACATACTAATAAGTACCTTTAAGGTACTTATATGCACCCTTTAGGGGTAAATAAGGTACAAATATGTACATTTGGAAAGGGTACAGCCCCAGTGACAGCTTTTGTACCTTTTTTCTGAGAGTGTAGTTGTGCAGGTCAAATACAAAACACGACCCAACACAACCATTTAGCTAGCGTAGGAGTGAACTGGCTATCAGGGAGACATTGCACGCTGTCCAGACACGTCCAGCTCTTAATCCTCCAGATTTAATACTTAACTGGAACAAGTTCTGTGAGATCCAGACCTCCTGAGTTCACTATTACAGAAAAGCCTGTCAGCGGAGGTGTTAAAAGATGGGAGGAACAGACTCATTCTAGCAGGGCTTGCTATGTTCTACTCTTTCGTTTTTAGTCCTCTCCATGTGCGCAAGCTCTCTCCACCTCAGCGATGGTTTTTGGGGTGTTTGCCGACAGGATGAGGGGTCCCCCGTGCTCTCGGATCACCACATCGTCCTCGATTCGCACCCCAAGACCCCGGAATCGCTCTGGACATGAGCTGTCGTCCTCGCTGATGTATAATCCTGGGTGAAGGGAGCAAGAGATGAGAGGTTAGAGCTTCTGGTTTGTGCAGTACAGCTCAAATGCTAAGACGCTGAATGTTACTTCAAGTCCAACTGTCTGTACAGTGCACTCAAGATACATATCTGTGGTTTATCAGTATTATTACCCTTATTTTTCTAACATGGTGCTGTATGAATGTCCTCAACAAGTGCAGTTTTCAAAGCAACTCTTTTGGGATGCAAAGTGCAAAACAAGACTAGATCGCTCTGATTGTAATCAACAAGTCTGTCTACACCTCAAGTGCCCAGTCCAGCGTGTTGCAACATGCATTCAGAAGACTGACGCCTCGTTCCAATTTTAGTCCAGCCACTGTATTTTGTATTTATTCTGACTGACTGAATTAAAATATTTATTTAAAAATATGTTAAATGATTACTATGACTTTTATGTGCTATATACACTGCAGTAATATGCAACATCATTATTACTCTAAGAATCTGTATTATTTTAGTATTTTTATATACTATTATAGTATCTATTAATACATTGAAATTGGCTTTTATTTTTGTACTTTCAGTTTTCATTTTAATGTAAGTTTTAGTAATTTTGTTATGTATTTTATGTTTATGTATTATATTTGTTTTTTTATACGTTTTTTATACAGCTAGTCCAGTCACTGTATTTTCTCCGTCTGACTAAATTAGTATTATTTTAGTTAAAAACATGTTAATTGATTACCATGAATTTTATGTTATATAAACTACAATAATATGCATTATTGTTAATAGTGTTATTTTAGTACGTATTATACACAATTATAGCATTTATTAATACTTTGAATGAGCATTTATTTTTGTATTTTCAGTTTAAACTTTAATTGTAGTAATTTTGTTACGTTCTTCTGTCCTTTATATATAGTTATAGTATATTTAGTACTTCAGCTTATCTAGTTATACAATATTTGTTTTATTTTATTTCAGCTTTATTTTAATTAACAAAAATGTTGTTGTTTTTTAAATACAATAACAGCACAGGAGAAATGGCTTTCTATTTTATTTTAATTAATTTTTTTTCATTTGCTTCTTAAAAAGCATCATTTTCAGTAGCCATAACAAGAAAACACTGTTACCTCAAACTTGTTCTTAAGAAATCATTCTAATGTTCATATTTGCAACTCGAGAAACTTTTCTTATTATTAGCACAGCTGAAAATGATTGTTCTGCTCAATGAACTGTGGAAATTACAATACAGCTGCTGGAGTATTGAGTACACTTGCAAGTCACCATACTTTCAAGTCTAACTTTGGTTTTAAAAATGGCCAAAAGAAACACATTTTCTAGAATCTTCATTAGTCTCTTGTTGTATTGAGGGATGAAGGATACTTTATGCAAGGAAAAGCCACATCTGATACCAGTACAGGTGCATCTCAATAAATTAGAATGTCGTGGAAAAGTTCATTTATTTCAGTAAAAAGAATAGAAATGGCAAAGATCATCAAATGGTAAATGATTATTGTGGATGGATAAATCTAAGTTTGAGGTGCTGATCTGATTGTAAAATCCATGAGAATCAACCTACAACTCAATCACAACCAGGGGCGTAGATTACGCGGGGGATGCGGGGGACATGTCCCCCCCACTTTTAATATCACGTAAATTCGTGATATTCCCCCACACTTTTTCGGGCAAGTGTGTTCGCATAAAGGTTTTCAAGAGCCAGTGTGAATAAATACAGATTTAAATTTAAAGAGACAGGATAGTCTGTGCATGATCTGATGTTTTATTCGGACCCAGAATAAGGCGAGATGAACATCATGGAGCGCTAAACATTCCGTGCAGTGTATGTTTCATTCATACTCGAAGCCTGATCACAACTATAGGAAGTACAGCATGAGATGAAACTTCATGCAATCATTTTGATAAACTGAATGCTAGAACACATTATTTGATGAACTAAAAGTTAAAAAAAGCATTTTGTAAAACAAACAGTCACATGCAACATTAATTGTTTTTGAATAAAAGTGATCTTCACCTGGCTCTATTGTGATCACCATGCCAGGTTGCAGCGGTTGTGAACGGGACAGCTCAGGGGTGTCATGAACATCCATGCCCAGGTAGTGACCCACGTGATGGGGGCAAAACTGCCGAGCAGCCTGGAAGGAAAAAAGAAAGAGACTGGCAGACATCCATGAAGAAAAACAACTGTAATGTAATTATAATGCATTTTACAGCATGTGAAACAGTTGCAAAGCTGCATGTGAGGAACTCTGAACATGAAAACAGAGTTAAACTGAAATAAGTGCACACCTACATCCCCACAGCCACAACAGGCTTAACTGAGCAGCGTGTCGGTTTGCTGGCCTCATAAACTCGCTGCACTAAGTGAAATGGTGCTTTTATGGCAGTGTGGTGCTTTACAGACGCTATAAGTGGGTCAAATCTTTGCCATTTAAATTGGAAAGAAAGACTTATAGTCATTTCCTGAACACAGAGCTTTAGGGAAGTTCAATTAAATAAATAAAGAATGTCTCGAATTCTTGGTGTTTCAGCAACTGTG